GTGACCGCCACGCGGCCGCCTCACCAGCCGGGCCCTCGGAAAGGCGCCGACGCGGCCCTTCGCTGTGTGTAAACGGCACCCCAACGCGGCTGTTCCGCCTTTTACAAAGTAGCTCTGCAGTTTGGGACCTTCCCAGTCACAAGGAAACACCAACCATGAGGGACAGTCTCGTACGTGTCCAGCACCAGATGACGCTTAACAGGCGCACACATGGTCCCACTTCCTTGAACCACCAGCCCCCCCCGCCCCCCAATAAACATCGTATGAGACCAAAGCTAACGGAAGTCCTCAGCAAACTAAGTGAAGCTTAGGGAGCGGTAAGCCCACTGCTCCGGGGAGGGAGCGCCACACGGCACTCCCCGGCGCCTCCCGGGCAGACTGGGCCCCAGGCAGCTGGGCCGTTACCTGAGGGGAGGCCAGGCCCTGCGCGTAGGGCGGCAGGCTGTTGTTCTGATCCATGGCTCACTCTCTTCTCGGCAAATCAGGCTCTGCGGTGGCGCGCTCCTCAGCACCGGCTGCTTCGCCTAGAGCATCTCCAGCCCTCTCTCCTCAGCAACTGCCTCAGCCTCTGGTTACCTTCACACCGCGACAGTAGGAAGCTGATGGAAAAGTTTGAGGTTCAGTGCAGAAACACGGGCAAGCTGTACAGCCTCATGGGCCAGTCCACTCCCCACAATAAACCCCAAGGCGTCATTTTGGGGCACCTTTCTTTTTACCTCATGAAGGTGGAACCCTGCCTCGTCCTGTGATTGCAGGCAAATTGCCAAAGGAACAAACGTTCTTTTGCTACATGACTGATTTAAAAACTCTCGTAATGTTCAGAGCAAAGATGTCGTAATCAGTATTAAAATGGGGGGGGTGCAGAACTTAGAGAAAATGAGCTCTAAAGCAGACGGCCTCGCGTGAGCAGAAATGCCTGTCAGGCGCCATGGCCGGGCCGCAGGACAGCCCGTGGCTGCGTATTTCCAGTCTCTACCGCAGGCATCAAATGCAGTAAATGTTGAATGAGACCCGACTCGCGCCAGTGTGATGGCTCACGAGCCGCCACTTCCCCACTGCGAGAAGCCAGACGCTCCAAAGCGAACAGTCACGCTCCTCCACACGCGGCAACACGCCACTTCAGAGCCGGAGACCCAAATCCCACCTGCGCGGGGCGGCTGCTACTACCACGTCGTCACTGGCTCCAGCCCGGGAGGGCGTTAGCCGGAAGGAACAAGCCGCAGAGACGCGGCCGCTCCGCTGGCTGGGAACCTGGCGGCCCGGGCTGCGGGAGAACCTGTGCACCAACACAGGGCTGACAGCTAAAAGGAAGACAGGAGCTGGGCACCGTCAGCAAGTGCGGGACAAACGCCCCCTTGGAGCGCCCAGCATGGACCCCGCAGGCTCCAGTTACAAGAGACCATCAAAGCCACACCTGTGCGTCCGGCTCAGGTACCTGCTGAACCCGCAGGAGAATCTGCCCCCACCTTGCGAGGACAAAGGACCCCAGAAACCAAAGACCCCCTACAGGCCTACCTCGGACGAGACCAAGAGATCAAGCTCAGAAAGCTGGCATCGGGCATGGGAGAGCAGAGCGCCAGCCGAGGTGCCCGCGGTGAGAGGCGGGCGGCGGACACCCGCCGGCTGCAGCCCGCACCCCGCGCCTCTGCCTCCCGCAGCCCCGGGCTGCAGCTGCGGCCAGCATGAACGCACACAGGCCGGCCCGAAACGGACCGTGACGGCTCTGGCGCTGCCCAAGCAGGCCGCCCGCCTGGCGCAGGTGGCGGCGCGCGGCCGCCCACTAAAGGGCGCTCGGGGCCCAGGGAGGGGCCCGGGGAGGG